GGTTGTTAGTCACCTGTGGGTAGCTAATGCATTGTAATAATCAGTTGGATTATTGTTTGATTTTTCTTAAGGGACCAGTTAGGTATATATCCTTAAGAAGTCTAGGACTTGTGTGTCTTATAGGTTGTTAGTCACTTGCAGGTAGCTTGTGCATTGTAATAATCAGTTGGATTATTGGATTAAGTCCTCGATTGATAGAGGCAAAACCACCTTGGCGGATGGACTAGACTAGCTTGATAGTTTTCAAGTGAACTAGTATAAACATACCTTGTTCTTTACTTCCCGTTCTTAATTATTCTTATTATCAATAGTGAAGGAAAAAGTATTTTAGTTGAAGAGGAATATTTTTTAAAGAAAAGTTTGGATTTAAGACCCAATTTCTTGTGTTTTCACGCCTTCACTAGTGTCTGGGCCTATTTTCACCATTTCTCAGACAAAATTAAAAAGGCACCCCTTTCACGTTAAAATTTAATCTGGATATGAATCTCTATATGTGAAAAAGGGGAGTTCTAAGATGTATCTCCATAAACACCATTTACTCAAAAATGTGTTGGTGGTCAATTTCTTTCATTAACCGGCGCCAGAACCCTTCCTTCTTCCCCATTCTTCATTTACTAGAAAAACACTTGATCTCTCCCTCTCACAACCATTGCATTTAGGCTTTGAAAAATTGCATTGAAGCATCAATGAAGCTCTTTCTCCTCATTTCAATCATCTCATAACATTGAAACAAGTCCTTCTCGTCAATCAATTCCATTTCGATAAGTTTTTTTTAGTTTTCTTTTCTTTTTGTTTTTTGGTTTTTAAGTTAGTTTTTTAGGATGCATTAGATGTTTTAGACACTTTAGGTAGTAGTGTAAATAACTTCATAAGTTAAAACAACATGCAATGATATTTTTTTGGGGACTGCTAGGGCAGAAAATGAGTCTGTTGTGGGAGCTAAAAATTGAAGGTTTATCCGGAGATGCATCTCTAGATTGCACTCAGTCAAAAAAGTGGGACATATAATGGATATGTTGTTTATATTTGTTTCTGTTTATAACACGTGTGTAATTGCTAACAACAACGTGTTTACCGTGAAATTTGGTAAACAACCGTTGATCTTTCAAATCTTTGTAGAAATGGTAACTTGCAGGATCAATCAGATTGATCCTAAGTACATGTGTTCTTATTTAATATTTTTTGTTCTTATAACAAAGAGTATTTTCAACAATATCTTCATTATTTTAGATAAATGTTATTTTAATTATTATTTCGTAGATAGTAACATAATACTTTAAAGATAAGACAAAAATGTAAAAGGATTTCGACTGGAATTTAAATAGATGTATAAAACTTCAAATAAAATCGAATGACTATAAATGTAAAAATGGTGCATCATACGTACATTCTCGCAAACTATTTTTTCTTAACGTTGGTACTTTGAGTGATTTGAGTATTTGTACAAAAGATGTGAACACACTGAATCTTAACACTAAGACCCGTATTTATACTAATTTGGACAAAATGGTCTCTAAATAATATGACGCCATGTTTGACAATTTCATGTATCTTCGAATTCCAAGCTTCCACGCGTCTCTTTGGATAAGATTAATCTTTTTGAATTTGAAACTCGTTATCTTCGAAGCGCCAAAAAGTGACAGTCGAAGCATGCTCATTGATAATTCGAATAAACTTAATATCTCTATGGTCCGTATACGGACCTTTAGACAACACTTAGAAAAATTAAAGCTTCAGTTTTAGCTCTTCAGTTATCAAAGTCTTCTCATGGACTCTTTTATTCTTTCCTTCGAATCACATAATCCAAAATGTATTAATTTAACTAAAACTCATGTAGTCGAAATTTCTAGTTAACACAACGAAGGTCATATTAGGGTTGTACGTGTGTCCCAAACCGCGTCAGTATGACGTGAAAGGGATGCAACTAGGACCATGAGTCCACGAGTTACTAATGACTTATTTGATACTCTATCTTCTTCATATCTCTGATCATCTGATTCCCGTAGCCGACTCCTCAGTCATCTCAAACATATGATGCAGTAAAACTTGAGGACCCTGAGGCCCCTATTGACCCTGAAGCCCAGGAGGAAGCCAATCAGGATGCCCCATTAGAGAGTTATCTAGGAGGGTCATGTGACACCTTCTTACTTTATAATTGTATAGAGCATGCTGATATACATTTCTGGAATAGAGAGGTATATTTCGTTCTTTTGCAATACATATACATATGTTGTCAACTAATTAAATCCATATTGTTTATGTTTTCTTTTTTTAGGAGCGTGATTGTCTGAAAATGATTAACCACGACAAGAAGATATTAGTCTTTCCACAGTCCAGTGGTCATTGGTTCAGAGATGTAATCCGATATTCCGATCTTGTCAAGTTTATGTTCATCTACATACGTGACCATAAACCATAACATGCATGAGGCTTTTATCGAGAGGTGGCACTCAGAGACGTCATCTTTTCACCTACCTATAGGCGAGATGAACATTACTTTGGATGACGTCTCATGCCTACCGCATATTCCCATTAGGGGGAAATGACTAGACCACAGAAGGATCATGCGAGTGGAAGGGGTCGATATGATGGTCAGATTATTAGGGACTAACTCTGGTAAGGCGTCGGAGGAGGCAACTCACACTAGAGGTGCTCATGCACGATTTAACTTTTTGGAAGAGGTTTATAATGATTATGTTAAAGGGGCTACAAATGTCAATGGTGATGATAAGCAGGTTGAGTACCACCAACATTGCATATTGAGGTGTCACCTCTTGTTTTTAGTTGGCACGTCCATGTTTATGGACAAAAGTGATACATGTGTCGGTGTTGTATACCTCAAGTATTTAAGAGACCTGACTGTAATTCACTAGTACAATTGGGGGCGCCTGTTTAGTGTACCTGTACTATAAGCTGAGCGAGAGTTGTCTTTGGAAGAGAAAGCATATGACAGGATGTTGCACTCTGCTTACAATAATTTCTTGTTACTAATATTTTCATAATTAAAGTCTTATACATGTCATTAATATTGTATCTGAAACATTTTTAGAGATGGATCATCTCTCACTTCCCTTGCATCACCGACTGGGAATTTGCACCACAATACAATGAGGATTGGGCTCGTGCAACTACTTTTGTTTCGTATAGATGGAATGATGTGATCGAGCCATTTAGAGTCTCTCTTGACTGTATGGTACCCAGATGACATTTGCTTCTACCAATACCAGAGTCATCGCCAGATACGACTGTTTGACGCCATCTCTTTATACTCTAGATGGTTGGTATGTGGTTCATCTCTTATGCATCCTTATCTTTCAGAGCGAGTGAAGAGCCCATTTAGCTATATGCAAATCATTGTGAGACCTTCATATGAGGCCGCTCATTCCGGCATCTTCCCTAGAGACCTACACGTGATACTTGATAATTTCCAGAGTCACCTCGTACCATAGGAGTATCGTTGGGAGCTAGCTGATAAATATTGGGCTTGTGCTAAGGGCTACATGATATGGTTCTATAGAGTTTCACACCTTATCATGACACCAGACGCTCCTGGAGAACCATCTAGGTCTGTTAACCTAGAGATACTTGAGGTTCAGGATTAGTAGGCATATAGCGTGATAGTTGTATGTCAACTTGTTGCATAGATGAATAGATAAGCCATAGAGTAAGGACTGTTTAAGTATGATAGTCCCCAAATGTCCCTAGTGGAGCACATGATTTCGAAGTTACAGAATGTCATGCAGTACAAGTGGCAGATGAGGCAGACGATTAGGCACATCAAGTAGTTTATATTTGGATGTATTATTTTTTATTGGTATTTTTGATGTATTTTCGGACAAATGTTATATATGAATTATCTTGAATTTTTTATTTATGTATGAATTTTTACACTTCTTTAACTTTAATATAACTTCATTTTACTGTTATTTTAATTTAATATAAGTTAATATAAGATGGCCTAAAAAATGAATGTTGGACAATGTTATTGTTGTGATATGATTCAGACATGATTTCGGAGATGTATCTCAGATATAATCTCTCATTTGTATTTATCACGTTTTCAAAACTTTTCAGGGGATATTTCAGATATACATTTTCTAATGTACCCAAATAACATACGAAGATGCATCTACAGACCATAATTTATTTAAAATGAAGTGGATCTCAAAATAAGATATTTTAGTTGTGATTCAAATGCGTTCAAAGATAGATCTCGAAACGTACGAAAGACAATTTTGAATTTTCAAGAATGTGATATAGCTATGTAAAAGCTTATTGGGCAATTCCCCCAAAAGATTCCTCGCTGTTATGAATCCCTCACCAAGTAAGTCCATTTATTACTAATCAGCTGCATTCATCATTTCTGCATACTAACAAGCTTATCAACCAAACACCTAGAAGCATTCTTTAAATCTAAAACATCCTTTAATATCTCTAATGATTCTCACAACTCTCTTTTAGAAATAATCACCACTCTTTTGGTTGATATCATTTATAATAAACAAACAATTTTGTCAATAGTTTACCATCTCATCCTATTTTTGCTTGCCATATTTTTGTTAGTTCCATTTATTTTACTTTCAAACACATCATTAAACTTTAAAATAATAAGATTTAATATTTTCCTATACTTATGTGGTGCGGGATTTAATATTACTAGTTAGTAATTAGACTATTTTTTTTATATAGTTTTTACAAGATACTTATGTTTCAAAGAAAAGATTCAAAATCAATTATTTTTTATTTTGTATTCTCAAATAAACTTAGATATTAATTTTTGAAGAAAAATAATCTACACTACTTGAAGCAAAAACATTCATCATAGAGTAACATATGTCATAAATAGCTTCACATGCATATTATATATAACAATGGCACCTTATCTTATTTTTGTCAATTACACTTGATATGATTTAAGTTAACATATAAAATAAATACTGAACACTTTCGGTTTTTTATTTGTAATTAAAAAACTTACTATTAATATTATATGGGCATAATTAAAGCTTAACATAATTATTATTAAGCAACCACTTAAGGTTCCAATTATTAGAGTCACATTTGTAAGCCCAATAAGCCCATCCAAATTTAGCATGAGAGTATACCTCCACTTGTACATTCATAAAATTTTGAAAATCTTGTTTTGTTGCATTCTGAACCTTCCAATCACCAGTCCATTCCCCTGAAAAAATTAATGTGAATATAACATTTAAAACTAGTAGTAAAAATTTATAATTCTATTAAACCAGCTCAGTTCATAGTTACGCAGAGATATTCAATTACAAGACTCTGGCTTTGGCCCTGATGACATTCCACTTATTATTGCGAAATAATGTGTGAAGTAAAAGAAAGCTTACCAACAAAGATGAGAGGTCCATTTGATGTGGTCAGAGAACTAAGCTCAGAAGCTCTTTGATGTTTAATATAATCAATGTTCTGCTTCACATTCATATTTGAGAACTTATCCGAAAACAAATTGTAGTAATGGACATCAATGACAACTTTATCAAAAGCCTTAACAAACGGTAGAAGCACTCTTGAATCTCTATCAAGAGGGTTTGACATTATCACATAAGCACTTGATGTGTGTTTCCTCACAGCATCATAACCAGCTTTATAATACTTTTTAAGACTTTCCAAATTAACTCCTTGAGGCTCATTCATCAGTTGTATTCCAATTAAATTCGGCCTCTCGCCATATCTGTATCAGATATACTGATTATTCAATAAATCTAAAAAATAAATAAAGACCAGAGCGATAATGATTATATACGAGACCTTTGAGCTAAGAAGTCTATGGTTGCGACGGTATCAGGAATGCTAGAATCTCCCCATTCTAGATATCCATCTCTTGTTGCACTATGAGCTCTTCCATTTTGCGAAGCCGGTGCAGCATGCAGGTCCACAATAACTTTCATTCCATATTTTCTGCAAATGGCATTAACTATACTAAGTTATAACCATTGGTAGATAAATTGACTTTTCATTTGTATGGTAAATAAAATAGACTAGGGACTTAACTGTGCCCATGTGAAAGCAATGTCAAGTGTTTTTAAGGATCCTCCAACAAATGGCTTAGGTGGTGTTGGGTCCTTAGCTATCCACCATCCCACAGGAATTCTGACCGCATTTAACCCATTTTCTGACATGAATTTGAAATCATCTTCTGTTATATATGTGCTCCAGTGATTCTGCATGATTTTGGAAGCTTTGTTTGGACCATAACCGTTTGTAATTTGGTATTCTCCTTTTAGGATTGTGTCAGACAAAACGGTCATTTTGAATATAGAAGGGTCATTGTCCTCCCATATGGATTCTTCATAAACTGTTCCTGTGCTTATTAAACTCTCTGATATGGCCTAATTAATTAATAAACGAAAATACTAATTAAAATCATATATAATCTAGAACTAAATGAATCAAGAGAGTCTCTGAAGTACAAATCCAGCAACTGATAGACATCAGACACGACACTAATATTTAGACGTTGACACCAGTAATAATTTATAAAAAAAAAATTAATAAATTAAACGTGAATACATATATCAGCGTGTTGCTGTCCACGGTGTCCACATACATGGACACGTTTTCTCAGAGGTGTCATGCTACAGAGAGTAAGTCTAAACAAACAAAGTACAAACCTGTAAAAACAAACCATTGGAAGCTTTGATCCTATTAGAGATAGGAGGGTATTATTGTAATAGTTAGTAGGAATTAGACTCATGTGTCTAATTCCCTTTCTATCCCTAGGCCCTTCTATATAAGGGTTTGCTGTAACTGTGAAAATACATATAACAGATTCAGTTACTCTTCTCTCTTCTCTCTTCTCTCTCTTTCTTCTCCACTCTTTTATTCTATCATGGTATCCAGAGCTTCTCTCTGATCCGTGGCTCCTATGGCTATGGCTTCACCAGACTCTTCAAACGCTACCGGTGGTAGCTCCTTCGCTGCAACAACTACCTTCAAGCAGAAGATCTCTGTCAAACTCGACGACACCAACTATCGTCAATGGAAGCAACAGGTCGAAGGCGTTCTTCGTGGCACCAAAATGGTTCGCTTCGTCGTTTCTCCTCAAGTACCGGAACGCTACCTCACTGTTGCTGATCGCGACGTCGGAACTGAGAATCCGAACTATGTCGCGTGGGAGGAGCAAGACGCTCTTCTCTGTACGTGGCTCTTGTCCACGATCTCTGATTCTCTTCTCTCTCGCTTTGTTCTTCTGCGCCATTCGTGGCAAGTGTGGGACGAAATTCATGCGTTCTGCAATACGCAGATGAAAACAAGGTCGCGTCAACTCAGATCAGAGCTCCGTTCTCTCTCAAAAGGTACTCGCACCGTTTCGGAATTTCTTGCACGTGTTCGCACTATTGTTGACACGTTGATGTCCATCGGCGATCCGGTTCTTCACCGCGATCAAATCGAATTGATTCTTGAGGCACTGCCGTCGGAATTTGATCCAGTTGTCGCTGCTGTCAATACGAAGTCTGATTTCATCTCGATTGATGAGCTTGAGTCGCTTCTTCTTGATCAAGAAGCGCGAATTGATAGAGCCAAGAAGAACGTCGTGGAAACTGTTTCAGTGAATCTCACGCAAGGGAATGAAGAGAAGTCCAGTTTCAGTCCTCAATCTGCTGAGATTCCTGATTCCAATGGTGGTGTTTCTTCTGGCTATGGAAGAGGTAGCAATTTTCGTGGCCGAAACAATAGAGGTGGAAGGTTCAGAGGTCGCGGTGGTCGCAGTGGCTTTAGAAACTCTGTTCAGTGCCAAATATGCTCTAAAGTAGGTCATGATGCTAGCTACTGCTATTTTCGTCACTCTCAGGATGCTTATGGCTCATATCCTCCTTATGGCAACTATGGCAATTATGTCTTTGCTCAGCCCAATGTGTGGACTCAGCCTGGTTTTCGAGCCTCAGCACCTCACACCATGAACTCTGCTAGACCTGCTGCTGCGTCCATGCCTGCTCAATATCCTACTCCTAGGCCTCAAGCATTGATTGCTGGAACTGATTGTTCCTCCTTCTACAATCAGGCCTGGTACCCTGACTCAGGTGCCTCTCACCATGTGACACCAGATGCCACAAATCTTGCTGATTCTGTGTCTCTATCTGGATCTGACCAGGTTCACATAGGCAATGGCCAAGGTCTGTCTATCACCTCTGTTGGCTCTATGCAATTTCCTTCTAATTTGTGTCCTAAGTCTTCTCTCAAACTTAATAATCTGCTGCTTGTGCCATCTATCACTAAAAATCTCTTAAGTGTGAGTCAGTTTGCCAAAGACAATGCTGTCTTCTTTGAATTTCATGCTGATGCTTGTTTTGTGAAATGTCAGGATACTTCTAGAGTGCTCTTAAAGGGTTCACTTGGAAGTGATGGTCTCTACAAGTTTGATTCAGTCTCTCAGCCTACTTCTCCTCAAGTTCTTAGTGCTGTCAGCAGTCATCTGCAGTCTAAGTCTAGGATCTCAAATTCATTTTCTAAATCTGTATTCAGCTCTACATGTAATAATAGGGACTTAGGCTCTATTTCTAATGTGTATCAAATGTGGCATAATAAACTTGGCCATCCTCATCATGAGGTTTTGAAACAGATTCTTCAACTTTGTAATATTCCTGTACCACATAAACAATTCAGTAATTTTTGCAATGCTTGTTGTCTGGGCAAAGTGCATAGACTGCCTTCTTCATTATCTGAAACTGTCTATAGCAAGCCTCTTGAACTTATTTTCTGTGATCTGTGGGGGCCTGCACCACTTACATCTGTTTCTGGCTTTACATACTTCCTTACTTGTGTAGATGCTTTTAGCAGGTACACCTGGATTTACCCCCTTAAGCTAAAATCTGATACCTTAGCCACCTTTGTGCAGTTTAAAGCACTTGTCGAACTACAGCTGAATATGAAAATTAAATCTGTGCAAACTGATGGAGGAGGAGAGTTTAAACCCTTGACACATTTTTTGAATATGCATGGCATCATACACCGGGTTACCTGCCCTCACACCCATCACCAAAATGGGTCTGTTGAGAGGAAACATCGTCATGTTGTTGAAACTGGTCTCACTCTCTTAGCTCAAGCAAATCTTCCCTTAAAGTTTTGGGATCATGCTTTCCTCACTGCAACTTATCTCGTCAATAGGCTGCCCTCACCCAACTTGCACAATAAATCTCCTTATTTCTTGCTATACTTCAAATATCCTGACTACAAATTCTTAAAGACCTTTGGCTGCTCCTGTTTTCCTCACCTCAGACCTTACAATTCACATAAACTTGCTATGCACTCCAAAGAGTGTCTCTTTCTTGGCTATTCACCTAGTCACAAAGGCTACAAATGTTTGGATGCTTCTGGCAGAATTTACATCTCCAAGGATGTTAAATTCAATGAGTGTAGGTTCCCTTATTCAGTCATGTTTTCCTCTTCATCCTCCCCTACTAGTCCTACACCTTGTTCTGCAAACTCTCAAGGTTATTTTACTCCTTTACCTGTGCCTCTCACTGCTGTACCTCCATCACAATCTCAGAGTCATGCTGGCCTCATTACTCCTGTCATATCTCATAATAGTTCTGTCTCAGACTCCAACACTGCCTCTTCTGAAGCTCATGAGTTAGCTTCTCTAGCCTCTGCCTCAACCATTGCTCCAGTCTCAGACACCACTGCATCAGTCACAGAATTGCCTGCAACTGCAGCTGTTAGCCATGAACAGGCTCTCTCTTCACCTGCTGTTCCTGCCTCCGGTTTCTCTACTCCTGCCGCTTCTGATTCCTCCACTGCAGTAGCTCCTGGTCCTCCTGCAAATCCTCTTAACATTCACCCTATGCTCACAAGGTCCAAACATGGCATAGTGCAGCCAAAGCGGCATCCTACACTTCTTCTTACTCACTTTGAGCCCTCTTCCTACAAGCAAGCTCTCACTGTTCCGGAATGGCAAGAAGCAATGCAAGTTGAGTACAATGCCTTACTTCAGAATCACACTTGGTCTCTTGTCCCTGCTCCTGCCAACAGAAAACCTATTGGCTGCAAGTGGGTTTTCAGGGTTAAGGAGAATCCTGATGGGACTATTAACAAGTACAAGGCCAGATTGGTGGCAAAAGGCTTTCATCAAGTTGAAGGGTTTGACTACACTGAGACTTTCTCACCTGTAGTCAAACCTGTTACGGTTAGAACTGTTCTAACTCTGGCCATCTCCAGAAAATGGACCATTCAACAGATTGATGTTAATAATGCCTTTCTTAATGGGGTGCTAAATGAGGAAGTCTATATGGTGCAGCCACCAGGCTTTGAAAAAGGTGAATCTGGACTTGTATGCAAGCTCCATAAAGCCTTGTATGGCCTTAAACAAGCACCTCGTGCTTGGTTTGATAAGCTCAAAGGCGCTCTCCTTCAGTTAGGCTTCACTGCCAGCAGGTGTGACCCTTCTTTGTTCATGCTTCTCACACCATCCTGCTACACTTTGGTGCTTGTCTATGTAGATGATATAATTATCACTGGCGTATCTTCAGCTTTCATTAAGCAGCTTGTTAACAAACTGAATATGGCTTTCTCTCTCAAAGATCTTGGGCAGCTGGACTATTTTCTGGGTATAGAAGTTACTCACCTTTCTAATGGCTCTTTACTTCTTTCTCAAGGCAAATATATAAGAGACCTTCTGCACAGAACCAATATGGCTGCTGCAAAAGGCATAGCATCCCCTATGGCTTCTAGCACCAAGTTATCCAAAGTTGGCTCTGCACAGGTGACTGATCCCACATACTTCAGATCTGTGGTAGGCGCGTTACAGTATGCTACAGTGACTCGGCCAGAAATATCTTTTGCTGTCAATAAAGTGTGCCAATTTCTGTCTAATCCCTTAGAAGACCACTGGAAAGCTGTTAAAAGGATCTTGAGATATCTTCAAGGGACTGCCTCTCATGGCTTATTTCTTTCCCCTGCCAATCAGTCTGCACCTCTCACTATTACAGGATTTTGTGATGCTGACTGGGCCTCTGATGTTGATGACAGGAGGTCCACCTCTGGTGCTTGCATATTCTTAGGTCCTAACTTGGTGACCTGGTGGGCAAAGAAGCAAACATTGGTGGCAAGATCTAGTGCTGAAGCAGAATATAGAAGCTTAGCTCTTGCCACAGCAGAAATTTTATGGCTGCAGTCTCTCTTACAAGAGTTACAGGTGCAGTACCAAACTCCAAAGGTGCTATGTGATAATCTTAGTGCAGTTTCCTTGGCTCACAATCCTGTGCTGCATTCTAGGACCAAACACATGGAATTAGACATCTTTTTTGTCAGGGAGAAAGTGCTGAGCAAAGCCCTTGTTGTGACTCACATTCCTGCAGCAAGCCAATGGGCAGATGTGCTCACCAAACCTCTCTCCACAGCCAGATTTCAGTTTCTCAAGAGCAAACTACGTGTTGTTGACAAGTTTAAACTTGATCAACCACCCTAAGTTTGAAGGGGGAGTATTAGAGATAGGAGGGTATTATTGTAATAGTTAGTAGGAATTAGACTCATGTGTCTAATTCCCTTTCTATCCCTAGGCCCTTCTATATAAGGGTTTGCTGTAACTGTGAAAATACATATAACAGATTCAGTTACTCTTCTCTCTTCTCTCTTCTCTCTCTTTCTTCTCCACTCTTTTATTCTATCAGATCCTAACCATGTTTGGATCATGATCATTTCTCACAATCTCAAATGTTTCTTTGTTTCCTGGTGAATCTATATCAGCCACTAATTTGTTTTCATCTTCTAATCCCAAAAACTGCTTATTTGACGCTCTTAAATTAAACATTGTTTCATTTACTCTCCACAACTGTGTCACAAAATAAATATATATTAAGCATATTGTTTTTTTTTTTATCATAAATAAAATGATAATAATTATTAGAAACTCGAATAAAAAACCGACTCTGAAAGTTTCCCAGTGAAAAGGTCTAGTTCGGTTCGCAACAATAACAGTTCCTCCTCCAAGTTCTGCACAAACATACTTTTGCAATTTTAATGACATGAATTGTACATGTGTTCCATCCTGAAATTACCAAAATAATTTAGCTTGTAATATATATTATATATATAAATATTTTTCCATAGAAATAATAAGAGAGATTAATTGGTATATATAATATACCAAAAGATCATTGTTGATTATTCCATCAAAGAGAGAAGGTTTCATCCATCCTTCAATAACAAGCCAATTTCCAAGGTTCACACTTTTGAGTTGCAAATTGAGATTCTTGGTTTGAGAAGCATAAACATTGTGAAATACTGAGAGGTAGAAAATGAAAAGAAGGTTCACATAAAAATATTTATTGCACATCTTATTATACTCAGTGTGTGAAATGAGTTTTATGTTTATGCATGATGAGGGATATATAACATTATAAAATACAGAAATTTCACTTTAGAAAATGTAATAATATTCTTGGTATGCATTTCTAGTAGCATTCTAATGTCAAAGGAAATTGCATGTTTTGGTTAGTTTTTTGCTATGAATGAAATGAGATGGTAACTTAGCATCTATCAAATGTACTTGTTAACTAATTTGTAATATTCATCTAACAAATTTTGTTAAGGGTTAGGCGTAGGGTGAAGATTATGAATTTATTACATTAAATATATAAAAATAATGTTAGTGTCAGGAAGGGATTAGATGAAACATTACTTGTCTTAGATTTCTTTTTTTGGACTAATGACTTGTTCTTTTCAACTTCTCATTGATGTGATATGTATAAAATAGTATTTTTACAAGAAAACATAGAGTTGTAATCATTACTTGTAAAACAAGTTATATTGTAACTAACTTTTAAGTGACTAACAAATATTGGTTAACATGTATATACAACAAACTCTTCCTTACTTTAATTGATCTATAGAAGAAATGAAGTAACACTAGTTAATGTCAGGCAATTGGTCCTGAGTGGTGTAGTGCTTTAACTGAATAACTCCATCCTTATTTAGATCTCTTAAGAAATGGAATCTGACATCTATTGTTTGCACCTTCTATGCATGATAGAATTTTTTGACAGTTTGATTGAGGAACTGTTGTCACAGATGATTGGCCCTTGTTTTTAAGGCACTTTCAAATGAGCCAACACATTTCTTAACCATACTCCTTAGCAAGCACATGAAGCGACAACTACAAACTCTGCTTCTATTGTTGACAATGTGACTATTGGTTGTTTCTTTGAGGACCATGAGATTGACCTTGAACCTATTTTGAACACATGCCCTGAGGTGCTTTTTCTGTCATCTCTATCTCCTGCATAATCAGATTCAATCCATCCTAGTAACTACAAGTTGATTGTACATCTATATTTTTACATAATGCCAAAATCTAAGGTGCCTTGTAGGTACCTCATGGTTCTTTTGAATGCAAAAACAAGCATTTCTATTGGTCTTTCCATGTATTTGACCACCAAGCACACATAAAATGTCATGTTAGGTCTTGTTGCTAGAAGATCCATTAAGCTTCCTACAATTTAATTAAGGGTTAAATAAGTTTCTGGTCCCTCTAAATATCTCAAATTTCGTTTTTAGTCCCTCTAAATTTTTCCTTTAAAGAATGACCCTGCTAAAAAATTAAATTTTAACTTTTGGTCCCTCTTGACAAAATCGTAGCTAAAATGATCTCTAATTTCTTCGCTAAATAAATAATGTCGCTAAAACCATCGCTAAAGCCATCGCTAAGTTGTAAAAACCGTCGCTAAATTGCAGGAGGGACCAAAACTTAAAATTTAACATTTTTAGGAGGATCGTTCTTTGAAGGAAAATTTTAGAGGGACTAAAAACGCAATTTGAGATATTTAGAAGGACCAAAAACTTATTTAACCCTTTAATTAAAAATGGTGGCATCAACAACTTTTCCACTTTCATCTTTCATTAATTTGCACCCTGGAATAATAGGACTGCATACTTTATTGCATCCATCCATGCCAAATCTTGATAGAATTTATGATGCATACTTTTGTTGATGTATGAAGATTCCATCATTGCCATGCTTCACCCTACAATTTCTTCTATTTGAATGCTTGTTATTTTAGGTCTAACAAGTTACTTTATATAGACTCTTATAGAATGGGCTTGGACTCTTTAGAAGATCCAATCTTCACGTTCCAAAATAGCTGCAAGATCTTCTTATAAAAATATGAACAAATCTTTTTTAAATCTTCCTAAAAATCCCCCAAGATCCTCTTTAAGAAATCCAATTAAATCGGAACTTTGTTTCTAAATAACCTCTTCGGCTTGTGCCTAATGATGAGGAATATCCAAAAAGATATCATCAAATCAAATCCAATTTGTCAAGAAATACATAGAAGTAGCGTATGCTGTACATAATCCAGGATGTCATGACATTTGTCTTCGACATCTGGATGAAAACTCATAACAGCTGAACTGTCATGACAATTGATGAAGATGTTACAACATCTTGCTCAACATAAGTATAGAACCATATTTTACCAAAATTTTGCCATGTATAAAACCATGAAACTAACAATCTCTCCCTTTGGCAAATTTTGGCTAAAACAACCAAAGCATGATAAACCTGGAGATATAAATTGCAATCATAAAAGTGTATCAGAGACTTCATACAGTTACATATCACTATCTTCAAAACTTCATAAGATCAAATGTCAATACAAGTGGTATAACATCACATAACATAGCTCCTCCACAAATAAGAGTTAGACAGATTAGACAGGTCCAATACTCCCCTTGTCACACATGATGAAGACTCCCCCTCAAGGGAAGAACCTAAATCACCAAATATGAACTACCCAATTTCATACACCATAGGCAACGACAGCAGAAGATAAAACTAACCTTACATCAGGCAAGATGTCATGACATTAGATAAGACATCATGCACACAAAATTCATTAGCAGTAGCAGCAAAAGATGCTCCAAACCAGCATGACATACTATCATGCTCCCCATAAATATTTTCATCCAACAAGCAACCACAACCATTAATCTCTCCTTAGCAGTAGCACAGTCCTATTAGATGGCTAGATAACATGTTAAGACATGTTTAATAACACCAGGACACACAGAACACACCAACACTTTACTCCTTCTTTTTAGCCAAATGTTGACAAAAATTGAGTAAATGTACACATATGGAAGCATAAAACACACATGGAAGGGTAAAACAATGCACACAGGCACAAAGCACACATGGAAACACAAATGAAACCACAAAGGAAATAAACACATGTGAAAACACAAAAGCACAAAACACACAATAACTAATAGAACCAAAATTCACCAAACTTCAGGTGGTCATTTTCCTCTTGCCACTATCAAAGATCCTTATGCACTCCTTGGTGCTGTCACCAGCCTTTTGCAGAGAGCCTTTGTCCCATCCAATAACAACATGCTTAGCCTTCCTAAGCATCAAAACATAGAGGAAAGATGTAGTATTAGTTGCACTTCTTAATAACTGTAACTGCTATAACTCTTTAATAGTACAAGTTCCAATCCCACTGCTTACAACATTAAGTTGTTCCTTGTTGTCCATATACTCTAGAGTAATAACCTTTTCTTCAAAAAGACTCTTGATTAGTTTCTTAAGATCATCAGAATTCATGTTCCAGCCATGTTGAATAAGATATCTGATAATGTTATGATCTTCATCATACAATGCCATGACATCATGTCTAACATTTCAGTCCATCATCATCTGGTTTACCAATACCAGCTGAGAATAATCTCTCATTGTTATCTTATCTTCAATAGTATTCTCAAAAGCACATGTTTGCTTCTCATTGAAATAAGAAATCAGATTGTTTCCTAGAACTAGATAATCATCAAAACTACTAACCAAATTTGCCTTGCAGGGATCTTTCATGATGAAGGAATAAGGGATACCACACAAAATGATTCCAATGATGTGTTTCAAGATATTCTTTTCTTGAATAGTGGGACACAACTTTTGTTTAAACTTAGAAATAAAACATGAATTTAATATTTTCTTACTAGATTCAATAATGTCTTCTTCATTATGGCAGCTTGAAATTAGTTCTTTGGATTACTCTATCTGATCCCTAGTGAGAAAACCTTGACTGTCTTGAAAACTCACAGATTAAGGACTTGTGAATTCACATAATACTTACCTTACTACTTCATTAGTCTGCACAAGTAATGTTCCAACATTGTCTTAAATATTTATCCTTTGTTCAGTAATTGAATTATTAACTACAATATTCATAGATTCTAAAGTCATCCCAGTTTGAGAGTTGGAAACTCTATAAGTTCTGCTTCTTGAAGAGTAACCAGAAATATCCCTTCATCCCTTATGGGATTCTTCTTTCCCTTTTAACCTTGGTCAATTAAAAAGTAGCATTTACTTCCAAATATATGAAAGTAATTGACTCTAGGCTTAATTCCTTTTTATAGCTCATAAAGAGTGACTGAGGCACCTATTCTCAAAGTAACCCTATTATGAATGTAACAAGCAGTATTCATGGCTTCTGCCCAAAAGTACAAAGGAAAATCCGTAACATGAAGCATGACTCTAGCTGATTCTAGAATATCCTTGGTCACTTGTTCAACAATTCCCCCTTGTTGAGAGCACTCATGACTAATATTTTTAGAAGCACAAAATTCAGAGGATTTTATATTCTCAAACTCTTTGTCATGTTCACTTCTAACTTTGACAATATCATCATTATTCTCTTCTTGAATACTTTGACACGAGTCTTTGAAGACTTCAAAAGCATATGCTTTTTCTCTAAGAAAATTTATCCAAGTATATCTAGAAAAAACATCTATAAGCACATAAACATATCTCTTGCCACCCATGCTTTCAACCTGTATTGGTCCCATTAAGTCCATGTGAAGAAGTTCTAACATTCTGGAAGTAGTCTGATGTTGCAACATTTGGTGTGACATTATAGATTGAGACTTAAATTCACACTCATAACAGACTATCCCTTCTTCAATATTTAGATTTCTAATTCCTCTAATGGCTCTTTCATATAGTAGTTCCTTCATTCTTTTGAGATGAAGATGTCCAAGTTTCTGGTGCCATAACTTTACTTCATCCTTACCGGTTATTGAACATAAAAAAGAATAAGCATTTAATTAAGGTTATCATAGATAACATTTGTCTTTATACCTTCTACCCTTCACCAACCCATAATTTTTTTCATCTTTGACTAAGCATTCTGATTTTGAGAACATGACTAATGATCAATGGTCACACAACTGACTAATGTTAATAGGATTACCAGTAAGTCTTTTCACATAAAGAACATATTCCAAAAAAGGAGAACCAACACACATAACCTTACCAACTCCTTTGATTTTACCATTAAA